GCCACTTTATACCGGGCTGTGGGAAAGACCCTGCGAGCAGATACTGTGTGTGTTGCCTGTCAGACTGATGAGTGCTGCAAGCCCGCGGCACCCGAGTGTCACATACTGACCTCTGTCTGCAGTCTCTCCAAACCTCTGGAAGAAATGAGACATTTTCTATCGTGATCTAGGTTTTTGAATGAACCTCAACTATCAACAAAATAAAACTTATCTATTATTTGTTTGATCTGCTTTTTTTTCTTTTAAAATACTTATTCATATTGGCTGTGCTGCGTTTAGCCTCCAGTTTAACTTACAAGAAAGAGACCCTGGAGGATGCACATGGAACCTGTTTAGGGTTCACATGTATCAGTTCCCCAAGCTGGTATACCACCCAGTCCATACCGTCCCATGAAGAAAAGCCTGCTCAATACCCTTTAATGCTGTGCTGGCCTTTATTAGAACGAGCACACATACACTATCCAGCCTTTCTATAAACTCAGTGGTTAAGGGCCCTATCCACAACCACACTGTCTTAGCTAGACAACCAGATACTTCAGAATCACCGAAAACAAAACATCTTAGCGACTAAGAGAAAGAAAACACTCTCACCATGTTTTGAGTCATGACTAGTTGTTTTTGACATTTAATTTCAGGTTAATAGGAATTAACTGTGGCTCTAACATTTACATCAATGCCGAACATGTGTACAACTTTCAGAGGAGCCCAATGTCATTAACCACAGACTCTGGGAAAGCCAGGGGAACAGAGAAGGAAACACTTTATTTAGCATCTATTCTGTCATATGAGATTTTTTTTTTCATGTAACAACCTACCACAGGAAAAATGGATAGTGTAGTATTTTTCCCCTCTATGGCAGAATCATATAGCTGTTTCCACTGTTTTTGGAATTGCAAAAATCCTATTACAGAAACATACAGAGCAGAGAGAGATATAAACAGAATAATATGTTTATAAAATGGTTGCTCTAAACATATTCATTACCTCACTTTTCCTGTAAGCAAAGCTTGAAGGATGAGTAAGGAAATTCTCTCCCGGCAAACAGCTACAGTTGGGAGGAGTAAGAGGCCCAACAGTGAGGACATACCGTGTCTGCAGTATTTGACCATTTGTGAGTATTTCATAGAAGGCTGAAAATTTATAATTAAAAAACCCCAGAGGAAATATACATAAATGTATGTGTTTATATCTTACATAGCAACCACTGTACTACTTTTTCTTAAATACATGAGCTGCTTTAGACAGAAGTGTTAAAAGCTTTTCTGGGAAACATCTTTTGTTCACCTGAAATACCTGGACAGAAAGTTCAGTACGTGGATTAAGAAATGAAACTTTACAGGTTTATAAGAATTGAAAACATGCATAGATATTTTCTACTGCCAAATAGTCAAAACCTGAAATTATGTTTAAGTCTGAAGGACTGAGAGGATCCTAGGGGAATGTCATGTATAACTATGACAGTGTTATAACATGGGTGACTGACAGGCAGGAGGTGAGAGGGCATAACAGACACAACATCAACATTGTTCAAGCCAGGACTGCACTCCGATTTTAAAAGAAAGCATAACTCCTTAAGGAGGAGGTGGCTTTTGTAGCTGTCTCACAACCCTGTAGAGATAGTGTTATTGCTGAGATACCATGAACGAAGCAGTGTGGATGGCATGCTCCCTGGTGTGGCCCTTCAGTCAGTTCAGACTCAGAGCTGATCATAAGGACATCACTCCACTGGCAGTCCCTAAGCTATCTAAAAACTCCATAGGGAACACTGAGACAGAGAAAGAAGACACATGTTTCTTAGTAAGAGTGACAATGTAACAGATACACTCACTGGACTAGTCAGTTTTAAACATTACAGAAACATTGGAAACTGTGAAGTTACAGTACGCTAATCTTTAAAATCACGTGTAAAGAAAGGTGAGTCTGTTAAGTATCAGAAGACAGAAAACAAAAACAAAAACAAAACAACAACAAAAAAAACAAAACAGAAAAATGTAACTGACAAATGCAATCTTGGAAAAATGTGGCTAGTTATAGACTGAGTTTTAAAAGAGCCTGGCTTTTGGCCCTGGAAGCCAGCAAGAAACAAAAGATAAAGGATTCCTATTTAAAAATAAGAACTTAAGCAAAATTCCCAATACTGAAACCGTTTTCTTTTTTTTTTTTTTTTTTTTTTCAGATTTCTTGGTGGCTAGACAAGTAACATCTCAAATGATGGGTGTGATGAGCTTAACAAATACCTTAACAAATGCTTTGATATGACAATCGCACAGTCATCTTCTGAAGGACACCAGTGATTATCATACTACCTCTAAATGGTTGCTGAGATACAGCTACTGTTGATTATATTAACATGCACAAGAATTTACTGCTTAATGTGTCTGGCTTTCTTCCCTCAAGGACAGGGCTGGGGAATGGCCCATTCCCAGCCTGGCCTGTTGCTTGTTTCTGTAAATAAAATTTTATTTAGAAGGTCACATTTTCATCTCTATGCTACCTGTGGCTTTCACACTGTAAAGGCAAAGGTGTATAGTAAAGATACTATCTGATTCTCTGAGAAGCCTGAATAATTTTACTACCAGATCCTACAGAGAGAGTTGTTGGCACATCACCTCCAGTTTTCTTCCTAGAGTATCTAGAACACATGCTTCTTCCCTTTCACAGGGACCAGGCCTCCTTGAGTTCTCGTATGTGGATGACTTCATCTTCTAGGCTGACTCTGTTCACTGGTGTGTAGCCTGAAACTTTCACATCATAGCTGGGGAGTCACTTTTAATATATTTGGAACACAATCATTATCTCTAGCCATAATCTGTTTGATGTCAGGCACTCTCTAAGAATTAGAGATTAATAAAATGGAAGAGCCATCTGGCAACAGACAGACTAGAAAACTGTACCTCTTATTTTATCTTGAATAAGGAATAAGGGTAGTAAAAGGAGCAAAAGTCAAATACACTTTAGAGTAAATCCCAGTAAGTCAGGGAAAAAGGTTTCAGCATTCAAACACATAAAGGTAGACAGACACATGAATACGTGTGTGTATGTGTACACACATGTGTGTGCTTGCTCACATACACACAGTCATACTTATATCCATTACAAACTAAAAATACAACATAAAGTATATTTGTTTTATAAATATATTACTGTCTATATACATATAGATACATCCATAAAAGACATGTTAAATAATCATTTATATAATCAATACTACTTTTGTGTATTTAAAAATTACACATTCTATTAAAATTATCAAAATAATCTTTAAAAATACCAAGAATAAAACCAAGTGTTTCTTTCCATGTAAGTGGTTCTGAATCTTATCATTGGTCAAATAGACCCTAGACTTGGTCATTCACAACTCAAAGACACAGTTCAATCAGAAAAATGTTATTCATTAAAAGACAACCCCCTATTTTTTTAATACTTCATAACAAACATGTTTATATATAAAACACCCACTTTAGATAATTACATATTCTCATAAATGTATTTTCATAAAAACAAAAATTCAAGTTGCCACCAGTGTCAAATATTTTACACTGGCAACCATTAATTACTTTCACTGTTTAGGTCAGTGACAAACTCCCATTAGGGTAACAAGACTGAAATGTCTGTATTACATGCAAGAAAAGAGGAAATTCTGAGGGCCATTTTGGCCAGTTAGGTACTATTCCCTCTGGACTAAAACACAGGGACAACAAACTGCTATTACTGCATAAAGTACAGTTGACTGTCTATTATTCAGGGGCAGAATATTCCAGTCTGAGTCCTTTTTAATCAGCTGACCAATTCTGACATTTTACTACTCATTAGCACACCATTTCAGGTTATTTATTTATTTATTTATTTATTTTGGCTAGTCTGATAAACAGAAATTAGAGATTGGGAAGAAGTATTTTAGCTAAAATTAAGGTTTATGACCAGCTATGAATTTAATAATGGACTCCTTTTACTTATTACCTGAGATTTTTTTTTCTGAGAAATTGATGTAGCTAAAATCTGCCAATCACCTTAATCTTAACGTCTAAAAGCAGCATTGGTGCTTCATCAAAGGGGACAGACGGACTGCCCTCTTGTCATAAGAAAACCTTTTCTTAGCACAATTTCTCAGCCAGTGGCACTGAGAAATGTAGCAGTGGGTGGGTCGGAGCCACCTACGCCATGACACACACCAGCAAAGATTATATTAAAGAGGAGAAAGGGCAACTTCAGCTAAAAACATAAGAAGGTCAAATTTTAAGTCATATCCTTTTAACCTAAGGTCTCACTTAAATTATTTTAGTCAAGTGTGCCCATTTCCAAACAATCACAGTGCTAATATGAAGCAAAAGTGACACGTTCATTAAGTGACTTCCTCAGCCTCGTCTCACAATGCGACTGGGTAGCCTGGCTAAGAGGAACCCCACGCTTGCAACCTTGTTCTTGGCATTCACTTAGCCTTCATATTTCAACTTGCCCTTCAGATCATGACTGACAGGATCAAGGACAGTTTCACAGGTTGGCTGTGTCACTCTCAGACATGCCACTCGGGATGGCTGGGATGGCACCACCTGCAGCACTCCGGGTAAAGATGTGTGCCACGCTCACTCAAACACAACAGCAGTAACTGTAGAACATCATTTTCCTGAATTAAGTTTGCTGAACATGGTTCAGATTATTGGATATGCTAATATGCACAATGCCGTTTAGAAGCATTTACTGTGTACCCAAATCCTACTCCATGCAACACATGGTGTCACACAAGTAGTGAAAATGTTATCCTAGTCGAAGATGCTTGGACATTATTTTCAGGCAGCATTTTACCTTTATTTTAAGTTAAGTTCACACTAGGTAAGTTTTAGGAAAAAGAAAATGCCAATAAATTTATTTAATATATTTTAATATATAAAACTAAGACAGACACCTTTATTTACCTTAATTGTTACTTTTATTTTCTATCCTATTCTAGATTTTAATTTTCCTTTAAAATTTTGCATTTAAATAAGGGATAAAATGTTGCCCAAAAGTCTAATTATAGTTACACATTTGTGTTTTTAACTAGATCTACAAATCAAAATAGTTCTTATTGTTAAAAAGATACAATTTGTATCAACAGTAAAAGGTACTTTCTGGTTTTCAGGGTGTTGCCTCTGAGACTGCAGGAACATCTAGGTCAGAGCATCCAGGCTGACTACAGGACCAGAGCTGGACTTGTCCTTGCAACAAGTACAATCAGAGGCAGCTTCTGTCCATCACAACACTGTCTGCACTGACCATAAATCAATCTCCCGATGCTCAGAAAGGTCACTACAGCAAGCAAAACCCATGATGCAACCAGAAATATCCCTTACTAATACTAGAACAGACTTTAGTCTGTATCTAAAACTACACTATTTGTGGCAAGAGTCTGGCCTTAATAATATAACAGGCCCCCCAAAAAACTACCTTCAGGAAAATGGAAAATATACAATATCTTACAAAAACTTTAAGTTACCATTTACAAGTCCTCTGTTGTCATTTCTACAGTGCAGTATCAGTAAATGTTGCATATTCTCAACACATCAGACCACCTCAGGCCAGCCTCAATAAATAGCGGGAAAGCTAGAGTGTATTAAATATAAAAGCTGCATTGAGAATACTTGGATTCATTAAAAACAGGCAAGTACTGAGAAAGGGCTATTCATCCAGTACTGTGCCTCCCACAAAAAGACAGAGATTAAAAATACATGTTAATGGAAATCAAGGACTGCACTCCCATTTCTACTGTCAAAAAGCACATTTTAGCTGGAAAGCAAAGCTTTAACCTGTAACAGTTACAGCTTTTGCCTTATTCTTTAAAAAAAAAAAAATGGAAACTTTTTTCCATTGATTGCATCTGCTTTCTTTTAAACTGACCATTTAAAATAACTAATTTTCTTAACAGGAAACATCCAAACAAAAATAAAATAAAAAGTGCCATACTGGGAATCACTCTAATATGTACTATTACCATTTTAACATAACTGGAAACATATATTTTTTTTAAATATAAAGTCAGTGCTGTAGTATATCTTTGTTTCTATAAATAATGATTATAGCACAAAGAAGCCCACTTTCCCCAAATAAAAATAACTTAAAAAGCTGTAAAGGATTCTAGTTAAGCTTGGCTTGAGGAAATAGTTTGCTAGGTCTAGTCCAGTACCTCCACATTCTGGAGACACTGCAATTGCTTGCAGTTGACAGACAAACACCAAGTTAACAGGACAGGAAACAAGGATAAAAAGTGCTGCATATAAACCCCTGATGCACCAAAGAGGAATATCAAAGATCACAGATACATCTATTAAATCAAACTGGAGAAACTTCCAGCCAAGTGTATAGCTTTAAAAAGGAAATGTTAAAAAAAAAAAAGTTTGAATGTAAAGCAATCCCGTGATAAGTCCACCAAGTGGGGTTCCATACAGATTCCATGATACAGTATTTCACATAAATGGATACTATATAACCTCCCTGCTGAGAAGGAGATCACATGTGCTATTGTAGCAAACCTCCCTCAGCAACTGAGCTGAACAAAAAACTACTCAACACCACAAAGATGCATCATCTTTTCAATAACCCAGCTGCGATTTCTCCACTAAAATGGCTGCGGCAAGCTGCTGGGCATCTGTCATGTGAGGATTCCTTTTCATGACGAGCCTCACAAGGTCAGGGGGGAAGATGTTGCACAAATTGATATAAATCTTCTCACGGCTGTCCTGGTACCTCGGAGGATCATGTGGCATTCCACAGTAGGGGATTCTCCAGGTGGGCTCCTGCTGCTCAGGCAGGCTCTGGAAGGTGATCGACTCATAGCACGGGGGTGTGGAGTTATCGGGTAAGGAGTAAGTCTGCCGATAGCTGTACGCATCCATCCCATAGTTTGGCCTATCCCAGCTTCCTAGGCCTTCCTGGCGAGAATAAGGCTTTCTTTGTCTTGAAGGAGAACTATCATAGAGTCGAGAATCAGAAATGCTGTCTATTCTCGTGGCCACTAAGGACCTCCCTAGGTGTGGGGCCTTAGAGTGTGCTGAACTTGGTGGAGAGGGGTAATCCCCAGGACAGCTGGAGCGGGCACCCACGGCGGGGTGCTGCAGATGCATAGCCAAGTGTGGAAGAGGACGCTTGTGATGGAACTTTGGTTCTTCATGACTGTAACTCTGAACTCTGGTTAAGGGATCATGGAAATTCTGTAGGAAGGGCTGGGAATTAAGGCGGCTGTGGGGGTGCATGTGCTGACACTTGAGACTCTCTTCTAGCTGCGGGTCAGGAGAGCTGACGTAGGACCGGTCATTGTACCCCACATACGAGTCGCTGCTCCCACAGCTCATGCTCCCGTCACTGCTGCAGTCTGAAGCTACAGAATTTACTCGATAGTCAGTGTCTACTGAGAAACGCCTTTCAGGACTTCGGGGGCCTGAGATACTCAGATTAGAATATGCATTCAACATGGAATAATATCCAACATCAACAGGGGAGTCACATTTTGGATACTGTTCATAAGGCATTGGCGTTCCATGATTTTTGGTTGCCATCATCATTGGAGGGTATTGTCCCTGTGGTCTTTGATCCTGAGGTGGGAAATGAACTCCAGATGGAAGGCCATTGCTTAAAGATGTAGTGCTTTGGGGTTTTGCAGTAGAAGTGGCCGGGATACTGACTAAGGAAGGTACAGACCTGGTTTCCAACTTGTTTTTGGTGGGAAGCTTTTCCTCTATGTCTTGGTAGACGTGAGTCCGTATGCTTGGGTCTGACTGCCTCTTTGGAGCACCTCGTTTAACATCCGAAGTGCTATCAGCCTTGGTGCTGCAAGGAACACTGTTGCTTTTCACCAGTCCCCCTTCATTTGTAGTTTTGGCTGCTGTGTTTCTAGACATGGCACGAAGTTCATCAGCCACTGACCGCTGAGGCTGACTGCCCCTTTCTGGGTGGTAATATTTGCACTTGTGTCCATACGTACACTTCTTTCCTATGAAGATAAAATCAGTTAGGCAAAGGAGCACTGATATCAGGAGATCCTGCACAGTCAGCGAGCGAGGCCTATCTGAACCTGGGTAACAGAGGCAGAAATGGGAGCTGGGCTATGTCCTAATGTGTTCCTTGCTCCCTTCTTGCTTACTAAGAACATCAAGGAAGCTCTCAGTTGATCTCTCAGATCAGATCTGCCTCTTCTCTTCCAGCTCTTTACAACTGGGTAGGAAAGTGTGCTATGAAGAGCAACTGTCCTGCTGTAACACAACAAAGCCACACTTATCTGATTCATACCCACATAGAAGAATTTCTAATTCTCATCCCATAAAAAGTAACTTCAAACAGAATTAGCACTATTTTCACTCTGAGAAATCCTATGTTGAACCCAAATAGGTGAAAAAAACAATTGTCTAAGGCTAGCACATTTCCTTAAATTTACTTATAATCAAAAGAAGCACACAGTATATAGCATGTGAGGCTTTCAGTGTTTATCAATGCACTGCACTCTAAAGGCACTGTCAAGTATCCATAAGGACAGTTACCATAGGGACAAGGCTGCTTTTTGTGCTCAGGAACAATAGGTTTCTTCCTCAGAAAATTATCCAGGCTTGGGCCATGTCTGCCAAGAGGGTCATCTGGGGGCATGAACCTGTCACAAAGATAACAATAAAGAATGACACACACAAAAAGAAGGTTAATTTAATGCTAATGATATAAATATTTATTTATTCTATTTTCTTTTGAAATTTTATTCCAAGTGTTTTGACTAATATTTACAAGATTAGAAAAAAAAAACCAAACTTTAAACCACATTCTCCTATAGCATTCAGTTTTCACCTTAACTTGTATTTGTTTTAATTTAAACAACTTTTGTGACAGTGTGTCTTATCATTTTTTTTTTTTAAATTCCTCTTAGTCTTGGGATGCTTATAAGGATTAGAGTACTGATTACCAGGGGATCTTAGGAGAGCTCGGTCAACACCAGTCTGGCAAGGGGATGCAGGGCAGGTAGAGAAGGGAGGGACAGTAGTGAGAACAGATACCACTATGTGCCAGATGTGCCTCACACATCACTGCATTTCCAAGTATAAGCTCCATTTATAGATCAATAAATAATTCTAATTCAGGTTCTGATGAATTAAGTCACTTTGTATCTGACATCCAACTCTGAAGTCAAGACTCTAAAGTCTATTCTTTTCCCATTGTAGCAATGGCTTCTCAGCTGAGACAGAGCATGCCTGTGGTCCCAGCTGCCTGAGGCCGAGAGAGGGGGCAGGACTCTTAGACTTGGCAGAGGGGAGGAGGTAAAGGCAAGAGGATGGCACATCCAGGCTTCCCAGACTACAGAATGAGTTCAAGGTCAGTCTGAATAAGTTAATAGACCCTGTCTCAAAAAGACTAAGAAACAAAAGTGTTGAGGCTGTAATTGAGTGTGGCAGCATGCTTGCCCAGCATGCATATGTGAGGTCCTGGCTTTGATCCCTACTACTAAAAGAAGGAACAAAATCTAAGGACATAAGCCTATCATTTGATTGACTATCAAATGGAGGAAAGAAAAACTCAAAATCATGCACAGAAATAAATTTGAATACTTGTTACATCTTTGTTCTAACTTGAAGTAAGCCCAAATGTTTACCTGCAAAATGCGAATGTGAGCAACGTAAGAGGGCAAAGAGGAGCAACCAAGATGGCTCAGAAAGCACTTGGTAACTAGTGTCACTATGACAAAAGAAAGACGCAGTGAAAAAGACTAGAGGTCAGCGCTGCAGGTCAGTGGTACAGCACATGTAACCTGAGTCATACCCAGCAGTGCTAAATAAAAATATTTTCCATGTTTACTCATGTTTCCATGGCTCTCTTTCCTTCTGAGAGTCTCACTACGTAGCCCAGGTGGTTTTGAACTTGTAATTCTCCTGTCTCAGCCTATACAGTGCTAAGACCACAGGTGTGTGCCAACCCTCAATCTGTACATTCCTCAAGAGTCTTCATAACAAGTGTAAGCAGTGAACAGCCGAGCAGCACTGCAGTTTGATGGGTCACTCTACAGTCGGCTTGATCACCTTAGAATGCCTGTAACTCTAAATGTAGAAATTAGCTTATCTGGTTTTTGTTTTGTCCTCATTTATATATTCTAAGAAATAACTCTAAGGCTGAGAGTGTAAAGATATTTTTGAAGCTTTTGCTAAATTGTACAACAGTTTTCATGCATTTGAATGTTTTAAGCTTGCTTATCTTTCTGTGTACCTGCTTGCTTATCTTTCTGTTTGCCCTGCAAACGTCTTACAGCAAGTGTATGAGTGGTCAGAGAGGTCAGAGGGAGTGTCAGATCCCCTGGAACTGGAGTTACGGATGGTTGCGAACTGCCATGTGGACACTGAGAATTCAACCCCGGTCCTGTAGAAAAGCAGTGTCCTTAGCTGCTAAGCCATGTCTCCAGCCCTAGTTTTTGATGCATCTTTAATAGAACAAGTGTTCATATTTTTGTGAATTAATCAGATGAGATAATAAACTCATTTTGGGCTTAGATTAACAATATGCAAATGTCTTCCACATGTTTGTAAGTATATTTACTTCTTGTAACTTGTGCCTGTTTATGTCAACTACCCTTTCACTAACTTAAAGTTTGCAATCACGACCACAGTCTTCCTTCATTAAAAAAAATTTTTTTTCCGGGCGGTGGTGGCACACGCCTTTAATCCCAGCACTTGGGTGGCAGAGGCAGGTGGATTTCTGAGTTCGAGGTCAACCTGGTCTACAGAGTGAGTTCCAGGACAGCCAGGGCTACACAGAGAAACCCTGTCTCGAAAAATCAAAAAACAAAACAAAACAAACAAAAAAAACCAACAACAACAACAACAAAAACTTTTTAAATGTGTGTCTTTAGTAAGCTAGCATGCTCTAAGTGGACTTGACAGGCAGTTTTAGGGGGTCAGGGGATAGATGTTTCTGTCAGCCAGGTCCTTGAGACAGAATCTAAGAAATCTCAGGGAAGGGCACAAAGCTCACACCAGCCAGTCTATAGTACAAGGGTTCAGTTCTGGTTCCCATTAGGATTAGTGGGAAACTGGTGGTCAAAAGAAGCCTGTCTCAGATTCAGTCAGTGGCAAAATGGGAAGGATATTCCTGCAGCTGCTGGGGCCAGTCGGCTTACTTACTTGTCATTGACAAAGGAATACATCAATAACCGTTCATCTATGAACTTCTTCCATTCTGGTTTTTCATTTGCCAAATCTCTGTAGTTATCATTGGACACAATTATACCATCAGACTCAAAAGCCAGCTTCACGATGAACCTGTCATCATAGCACACCACTCGCCTGCCCTGGACACGCCGTGATGGTGTGAATACCAGGATTTTTTCCTTCTCTAGTTTACGCAAAATTTCCTGATCTGCAATAAGAAAAGAGTAGAATTTCAGAAGTAAATATATAATTAGATACTTGATGACTTTCATAGGAGAGGTTTTCTTTTTAATTAAAAGGTATTTATTTTATGTATATGAGTGTTTTGCTTGAAGCAGAACTGTGCACCATGTGTGTCTGGTTTCCACAGAGGTCATAAGAGGTTGTTAGATCCAATGGAACTGTAGCTTATGAGCACCATCTAGGTCCTGGAAATCAAACCCAAGTTCTTTGCAAGAACAAGTGCTCTTAAGCACTGAGCTAGCCCTCCAGTTTCCTGGTGAGGGTTTTTTTTTTCTTTTTTAAATAGGAACTGGAGTGTATAGATTATGACTTTCAGTTGTGAGATGTAGCATAATCTCAACAATAGAAATCTCTATTATTGAAATTTCATAAAAGCTCTAGCCCTAAAGCCACAAGCACTTGGGTGACAACACAGCCGCTCTAGCATTGTGCCAAAGGGACAGTCACACTAAGCTGTATTTGGTCCACACTCCTTTCCTCTCCTCTCTGGGTATGTTTTGTAGGCTTCGTCCTAAATAGGAGGTGTGGTGGTGAGAGAACTGGACATGTAGTAATGGTGGAAACACTTGAAGCAAGGAAACACTTCAAAGCACAGGTTCACAAGAAGGAAGGCAGTGGGTCAGAAGTGTCGCTACAGTCATGGTCGCCACACATTCTGCATCCTGTCCTTTGAAATGTGGCAATAAATACCAGTTAATAGTTTTCAAAACACCCACCTCTTCAACAGAGAGCTACTGCCTGTTACCTTGTATCTGTGAGTGTTCAGTGGCTACTAAAATTAAGAATGGGCTAGTGGAGAAATGTGGATGTCAGAATAAGGGAATCATGCATGAAACTCAAGGTCTGCTACTGTCCACACGGGGAAATACAATCTCACTGAAACTGCTTCTTTATTTCTGAAATGCAGTGGGCAGACTGTGAGGAGTAAATGAGCTAACATATGCACACGTGGCGGGAAGCTCTACCCCCTCCCTACTGCACCCTACAGACTGTTCTTCAACCTAACTTGAATGTATTTCAATCATGTTACTGTTGATTTCTTTAAGATTCACAGAAAGCCAGTGCAATCCTTAAAGCCCAGATTTAATAATAGAACCCAGCATGTTATAATTACTCTGTGTGTTATCTTGAACAACATTTGGAAGGCAGTGCAGGACCCTGTCCCATGGTCTTTCCATCAAGCCCATTAAAATATCCTTAATGAATGTCTATGGACTGGATTAATAAAGGAAACATGAGAGGATGCATACTCTGAAGTTTCCGGTTTATCCCTTGTCTCATGCTCCTGAGTAGCTGGCCCTTTATCACTGAGAGATGTCTGTTGATAGATGGATGTTATGCTTTGAACCTCACTGCAGAAACCTGCAGAGTAACTGGAAACAGCCCAACAGTCACCATCATTGCTTAATCTCCATTTATGAAACAGATTGTGAGGTTGAGAAAAACATTTATTGGGATGATGCATAGAGAATTCCATCTTGAAAAAATACAGGTTTAGTAGGTAGCTAGTAAGGTAACTAACATGGTTAGTGCATGTTAAATATTTGTTAAGTGAATATTAGATTAGCAAAAGTGCTAGTCTGAATCCATGACTGAAATTTGTAATGTATGATTTATTTATTTATACCTAGTGAAAGTGAACTGAACTATTCCATTCACCAGAGATTACGTGGTTGAGGGCTTTAGTCAAGAAAAGTATTACTTTGGGAAGGAAGCACTTAAAAGCCTCTGACTATCATTCCATCGTTTTACAAAGTAAACTGTATCCTGTTGTCTTCTAGGGGCCTGGCATGCTGGGACTTCTCCCCTGGTGATCTCAGATGTGCACAAAGTCACATGTGCACACGGCAGCACCACTCTCCCTTTCCTCCCTTTTCTAGACAAGGTCTTGCTGAGGAGCCCAGGTAACATGAGCAACATGTTGTCTCAGCCTCCCAAAGTCCGGGACTGCAGATTTGTGTTCCTAGGCCCAGTTGTTGCCTTTTCATTTTAGTTTAATCTACCTACCTGTGTATCAAAATATTTTAAGGTACTTATGAAAAAATTAGGAAAGTAGAAGTATAAATAAATAGGGAGAAATGAACATCCTATAAAAACATAAAAACACAACTTAGAGGGTATTTAGCATTTTCTATATTTCATTTTAGTCATTTTCTGTAAATTTTTCTACTGTTGATACATGTAGACAGACAGACAGACAGACAGACACACACACACACTTCATAAATTTATACATATACGTACATAATAAAAGTCATGAGTTTTACATGATACTATATTCTCTAAAAAAATTATGTCTATAGGCTGGGGAGAGGGTTAGGTGGGTAAAGTGCTTGGTGCACAAACATGAGGATGTGAGTTCAAATCGCCAGCAATTCAGACACCTGGAACCCAGATCCCACTGCTGGGGAAACACCAAAGACAGAACACAGAAGCCACTGCCAGCCAAGCTAGCTTCTACACAGTATAAGGCAGAAAGCAATAGAGCACACCCAGTGTTGACCTCTGGCCACTGGAGGATGTGCATGCAGGGGTGGGAACACTTACACACACACACACAAACACACACACACACACACACACACACACACACTTTTGCCTAAACACTGGATCATTGAGAAAATGTTCTATTTATTGAACTATTATTCTAGTGAGTATACAATTTTTTTCTTTTTTCTTCTCTATTAAAAATAACTGTACACTGAATTTTTGGTTCTAGACTTTCACCTACATCCCTGCTTATTTTCTTGGGATTCATTCCTTAAGGGGAACTTGGAAATCTAAAAGCATAGTAATTCCTCCCCTTTATTCATTGGGAAGGACTACAAGACAGGTACAAGTGGAATTCTGTGGGAAGGATTAGGAAGTGTGGTTTTGCTGGAAGATGTGTGTCACTGGAAGAGGGCTTTGAAGTTTCAAAGCCTGATGCCATCATGCCTTCTGAGCTCTCAGCTGTTCATGCTGCCATCTTCATTCCATCCTTATGTCTTACCACAGCAACAAGAGAGTACTAATATATATACTGTTTAGTTAATACAATTATATTCTATTCAAACTGGCAAAGAGTACTGCACCCAAGACAATGGCAGTCACACAGATGGGCAAACAGAAGCAGATCAAGCGTCTCTAGAGCACCAGGCACCTGCACGGCCCCAGCAGCTGTGTGGGAGGAGCTCACCTGTGATGAGGGCGTCAGGTCGGGACTGCTCTTTTCTCCAAGCAGGAACAAAGACCGTTATATCTTTGTGGCCTCTTTCCAAAAACCAATCCACTGCCAATTTTATTCCTCGGCATGAGAATACTTCTTTGTTTCCATGGCTGAAAAATTAGTTTAGAATACTTAAAGCACAACGAAACCTAAATCCAAGTTTATAAACAGAAGTAGCCACATAATTATAATAATAGGAAGAAAAATTAAAATGTAATATAAAGTTATACAACTGAGAAAAATCAAAGCAGTTGACTTCAATTAACTTAATTAAAAATCAGAATCTGTGTGGAAAAAAGAAAATGGAAATACTGTGGACAACAAAGAAAGGTGAGTTTTAAATGTTAACAACAAAGGTTAACTAATCAAAAAGATACAACTTCTTTTTGTTGGTGATAAGGTAAATAGAAAGTTTTAAACAGGAAAAATTTCATTAAAATCAGAGAAACCTCACACTGAGACACATATATATATACACAAACACACAGATACACACACACACACACACACACACACACACACACACACACACACACACTGAAGCACTCTATATATTACCCTGAGCCCTGCTCCACACCACTGTGTTGGACAAGATGACTATAGAACATTCAGAACTGGACCAGTGGTTAGCATTTACCTGGTGCTAGCTCGGCATATACCCTTTGTCCTAGCAAAACAAGACACATTCTAATGTTTTTAAAGGAAAAGCTTTCTGCTTTGGATGCACTCTGTTTGTTGCCTTCTTTTACAGTACGAACACCGAAGGATTCATTTCTCACATATTTTTCTTGCAACAAAGGAAGGCATAGTAAAGTAGGTAAGTGCTTGGCTAACTTTTAGCATGTATCAACTATTAGGCATGTTAATATTGTATCCTAGGTGGAAGTACTAGAACCTTCTAATGTATGGAAATCAACTTAGAATACATTAGAAATAAAAGCTACTTGCTTTGAAGATGTTGAAGGCTATGCTGAAGTACAACTGCAGACTGAGTTCTGTCCGTAGCCTGTATTAATGGTCCAGGACAAGGCTAGAGGTGAAACAGATGTACTGAAATGTTCAGAGGATGAAGTAAGGCAGAGTCGGAGGCCACATTTCCTATGTAAGATGGGCTGACTGACAGCTGACTAATACAACAGCAAAGTGCACGATGTTATGTTAGGTTTCATGGGAAATACTGACTGAAATTTCATCATTCTTCTGAAAAAAAAAAATCTAGAAAAATCCTATTATCTCTGGAGAGAATATATACAGCAAGTATTGATAAATATATCCCACTTGCTAAACTTTACATTGTTACTTTGACTTAATGCTTTGTATTGTATTGTATTATACTGTGCTAGTAATCTGTATTATTTGGCAATCTGAGAATCAACAATGTAATTGCTTCTTGGAGTTCTCAATACTGGACTGCATAAGTTTTTTTTCTTTCTGGTGCTTCACTTGGCAGGAATCGTCATACTCACTCAAGAAAGTAAGATTATCAATAAAGAACTTAATAAATACTTATATACAGTAGAGTATTTACATTACTAGGACATAAATTCTAGAGGTGCTAGAAGAGGAAACTAGCCCACAAACACAGAGGGATAACAGAGACTGTCTGTCTCCTTGTCTTCTGCTCCCCAATCATAGCTTCTTAGAAAGAAAACAGATAAGAGGATGAAGCTTAGCCAAAGGCGGGGCGAGCAGTTATGGAGCCTGCATTTCTAGAGTAAACCCACATCTATGCCTAATCTTCTTCTCTGAGAAAAAATGATTCTCCACTTGCTTATGTAGCTACAGTGAAGTTTTCTATTGTTTGCACTTGAACATATCCTTAACTTCTACCACAAATACTATAATCCAAAGAAAACTGGCATCGCTCTATTACTTCTAGGAGAAAATGTAACTTGTAGGCAAAACCTTACCAGGGTTTTAAAGGCTATTGCAAAGAAGAACATACATAGGAAGCTTCAGTAATTATGGATTCGGTCTCTAGATTCGTAAGAACAGTACAGAATTACTAAAAGAAACAAGCAAATCTGTATTCATACTAATTGACACTAAGAGACACAGAAGAAAGGAACAATCATTTGCATCCTGATCTAATGGACACATATAATCCTGCAATGATTAAACAAGAGCACATGCGAGCTACAGGAACAGTCACTTTACAGAAGAGGCAACCCAATGGCCAATATACATGAAATGTTCAATAGTAAAAATGTAAATGAAAGCCAAAATGAGACACCACTTCACACCCATCATATGGGTAAAAATAAAATCTGCAAGCACCAGATGTTGCCAAGAATGTGTGAAAATAGGAACTCATACATCACAGGTGGGAATATAAATTGATGTAACTATTTGGGAGAACAATTTGGCAATATTATAAAGTTGAAATTGTACTTTCTTTAAAACACAGTAATCCTACATCCCTAAGCTAAAACCCTGTAGTAACCTAAAGTGGAATATAATGCAGTTAGCCATTGGTTTCTTCCCTCTGGCCAGTCTTACTTTTCAAATAGATATAAGCTAATGCTATACTATCTTTCAAGGGGACGTAAAATATAAAAGGCAAATGGGATTGTGCAGGTTAAGTCCCTGAATGTCCAAGATTTTCTGATCCAAGCTCCATCTGATTGGGTCAAAAGTGAATGCTGTCAGTGGAGTGCTGAGATGCAAACAGGACGCCTATACCTTCCTCCATCCTAAGAATTAGGGACACTGTCAGATATGGAGAGAAAAGATTGAAATCTCTAGAGGGCTAGGGAAGACCATACAAAACGGTGTCTCCTGAACATGACAGGACTCATGGACTTAGAGCAGCAGCACAGTGTTTGTCTGCACAAGAGCAAGCCAGTCAATATTCTAGCAAGGAGGAGGAGAAGGCTCCTAAGTTCCCACCCCTGAGCAGCTACTGATAGCTGTTGGCTTCTTGTGGGGAGGAAGAGTCAGTTTTCTTTAAGGGTGTGGCTCTGGTAGGTCAGCTGTGCTCCAGTGGATGGTTCATCGGATGGAGACGCACAACTGGACTCACTGGGTCATTAGAATCAAAAGAGGAAAGAAACTGGACAGGGGAAGAAGATGGGGCTGGGCCTCAGAGGAGGGAGCAGAGGATCCCTTGAGTGAAGGACCCCATAGCCTCAGACCCATGGGAAATGGGAAAGCCTTCCTTGGGAGTTGTCGTATTTCTGAGTGCTGATACTAACAGTGTGTGCAGAAAATGTCTACCATAGCTCCCTTGCCTGCTATTTACAGCCTGAAGACTGCTCCCCTACAGACTGCTCCTACTAAGGTTAGCTAAACCTGTCTCCTTGATCCAGCTGTTTACCATAAACTCTGCCTCCTTGTTTTTCTGAACGTAATAACTCCACCTCCTTATTCAACTGTATGCAATAACCCTGCCTCATTGTTCAACTCTAGAACAGACATGCTGAGCTCTGGGGTAATACAGTTTCTCTATCAGACCTCAGGCCACCCAAATCTAGCTTTTTTTGTGACTGTCTTTTCTTCAGTCTCTTGTGGCCCCTGGTCAAGTCCATCCCTGGAGCAGTGCTACATATGGCAAAATATACTCTATGAAATTGTCAAAGATTAAGAAAAATGCAATATTAAAGACGAATAGTCACTAAATAGTATACAAAATGCATTTAGAGAGAAGTCCAATCAGTAGGCAAGTCTCAGAATCACCCTGATAACAAGTGAGTATGAACAGATGGCCACTGGGAAGCTCCAAATTGCAGATGGGACTTGGATAGTGAGGAGAATGTTGAGAGAAGAACTAATAAGTTTCTTTACTGTAGCAAGATATGACAACTCACATGTAATAGAAGGATCAGCTGAGGAGTTGCTTATGGAGAATGAAACAGAAATTCTCACAACATTATAAAAAGCAGGATCTAAAAGTGTACTGTAGCCTCAGATACAAATCAGCTGCTTGTTGATTACTAAAAAGGCACTACACTTCTAACTCTACATTCACGGAACAGAACATTTACTATAGCTTTGAAAGCATTTATGAACTCTATGTGTGCAGAGTGTTTTCCCATGCAATTAAAAAAAGCTGATCCTATATTTATAATTTAAATTTTCTTTATGTATCAATTTCTTTTGATTTTAATACCTCAGTAATAAATATAGTTGACATCTCTTGTTTTAAACTTTAAATTAGGTGAGTAGTGGAAGATTTGTAGTCATCTTGGATTAAGTAGGACCATGGACTAGATGCACCTTTCCCCCAACTATTTTGGTTTAGTGTATTGGATTTCCAGGAAAAATTCCAAACCCCCACTGCAAATACGAAGTTTCTGTGGAGCAAATGGGTAAGAGCTTGAGGCCCCCTGGACTTGGTGGCTGGTGTGACAGCCCAGATGTCATTCTTACAAACAGAAGGCTTGTTTGATTTTGATTCTGCTGCCCTCAGAGCTGTATACTTAACAGGATCCCACTCTGCAATGAACAGAGCTCATCTGAAGTAAACAAAGTCATGTATTTACAGAGATTCTTAGATAAACTCCATCCAAAACAAAAAGAATTGCTTGTATCTCTGGAAATGATTGTATTTCTCAGAGAATAGAAAGGATGAACTAGAGACTGAGAGAAGAAAACAGGACATTCAGGTTCCTGACCTGCTTTGCTGTTGGTTCTCTTGATTCTACTCCTTATTCTGTTTGCCTCCTTATGAGACCTAAAAAAGTGGGGTGGATGGACAGACGTTTGCATTGGCTTTAGAGTGTGTGGATAACTAGTCCTTCAAAAGGAGAGAACTGCAGCTTTAGCAGATTATTCTCATATGAATTCATTTTATCAAACTCCCCTAAGCTGAACATTCAGAACACAGCTAGGAAAGAAAACATGAGGAGAAAGGAATGTGGAATTTGACACTGTAAACCAGAGACAGTTGAAGAGAGGAAGATGCTGGTTGGCATGTGGTTTCCCTGGTAACCTGAACAAGAGGACCCAGAAGGAGTCAACAACAAACAACAACAAACAAGCCTACTAGCCTGGAGCTCCAGTGACCCAAATGTCTTTTTATCTTTTTGAGATACAGCCTGTCTATTATACAGCTCTGGCTGTACTAGAACTCACTACTTACTGATCTAAAGGGTGAGTCTAACCAGACTTC